AACCTGTGCTCTCCCAAGACAGTCAGGATGGGCTGTGTGGGTGGGATCCCTGTCCAGTTTCCTTCCTCCCATCTCCAGAGCTGCAGGCCCCCTGTAGCTCCCTCCTGAGTGCTAGAGTTTGTGACAGGAGTGCCCTCTGCCCAGTCCTGATCCAACATTGCCACCCACACAGCTCTTACACACTCATGCACACTCTCTTCCACACCCACACACCCATCCCCCACAACCACAGGCACTTAACAGTCATACCACAAACTCCAGCTGTTCCCATTGTTTTGCTGGAAGGAACCACAAGTCCTTGGGAGTTTTTTGGTTTTTTTTTTTAACATCTTATAGTAAAATCTCCGCATCTCTGACCCTTACCCAAGGAGGAGAGCAGCATTTGCCCCAGGTCAGGTGGGGTAGAATTGTTTCTAGGACATAAGTTCTATGGCCTTGACTCAGGTCCAGGCTCTTCCCAGGAAGTAGAGTTTAATCTCTGGTCACAGTTTGGTCACAGTCCCTCCCCACCCACTCCAGAACATGCTGGTTGGCAGTGTGCCCACACTGGTGGGGGAGGGGGAAAACTGCTGGGGTTGGCACCCTGGCTGGGCTCTGAGGGCCTCCTGGCCACTGCGCTAGAGGCAGGTCCTATCCTCTGCTGTCCCCTGTGGTTCATGTCCTTTCTGCCTCATAGCACATGGCTCATTGCTGGCTCTGTGAAATTCCTTTTTCTTCTAACTAATAAAAATCATAACTTTCCTTAAAGACCTCATCTGCAATCTCTTGTTAACAAGACCCCCTGGTATGCAGCTCAGTCCCACCTCAGTCTCCCTGTAGCCATGGCACCTGTATAGGAAAGCCAGGGGATGAATTCTAGAGGGACGTCCGTCCCTGGTCACCTTGAGAGGGTTTCTCCAAGCTCCAGGAGATGGAAGCCTCCTCAAGTCCAATGGCATGGTCCCAGGTTTCTAAGGCTTCCATAGATAGCTAGGGTGATCCAGCGGGTGATGTGTGGGGTGACAGCCAGGCCCACACATGGTCCCTGCCCCACAGGTGTCCCTAATCTGATGGCCTCTCTGAGCACAGGTGGGCAAGGGGTGGAAAGCCATCACATGCTTGATCTTGACACTTCTTCTACAGACACCATCTAGATGGAAGAACCAATGGGAATGCTGGGAAGGCTAGTCCTGTTCCCACCGTCTGCCCTCAGCAGAGGAAGAGTGGCATGCTGAACTCAGAAAGTGGGGAAGAGGAGAAAGGAGTTCAAGGACAGTGATTGGGTATGGGGCTATCTGCCTGGGAACACAGACTTCCTTTAATTCTAGGATTTCAGTTTAGGTCAGGTGTGGTGGCATGTACCATATCCTAATCCCAGCACACAGGGGGCTGAGGCAGGAGGATCACCTCTAGTTAAAGGCTAGCTGGGCTGAAGTTAGTTCAAGGTTAACCTGAACTACATAGGGAGACTCTATCTCAAAAACCAAAACAAAACAAAAGAGAGAAAGAAAACAAAATAATTTCAATTTGACAATAATCTTGTTTATGAAAAGGTATAAAATAAAAAATTATGCACAGAAATTCCTTTTATGTTTTACCAAGATTTACCCATTGTTAATGTTTTGCTCCATTTGTTTACCATTGATCCCCGATCCCATATATACACACGTCTATCTGTGTACATGCATGATTGCTTATACTGAATCATTTGAAGGTAAATGATACACATAATGACTTCTATTCAATTTGCAATTTGACAATAATCTTGTTTATGAAAAGGTATAAAATAAAAAATTATGCACAGAAATTCCTTTTATGTTTTACCAAGATTTACCCATTGTTAATGTTTTGCTCCATTTGTTTACCATTGATCCCCGATCCCATATATACACACGTCTATCTGTGTACATGCATGATTGCTTATACTGAATCATTTGAAGGTAAATGATACACATAATGACTTCTATTCTAAATCCTTCAGTGAGTATTTCTCAAGAAAAGGGATATTTTCTTATGTTACCACCATGCAATCATCCAGCCATAGGTTTACACTGATATACAGTAATTTCATCTCATCTACCACCCATTTTCCATCTGTACTTGTAGACCTAGTAATGAATGTCCTTAGCCCTATGTGCCCTGCAGCAGGATCCAGAGTAAGCTTGGAGATTTTGTTCATTTGTGGTAGCTTTTTTGCCTCCTTTAATCTGGAATGTCTCCGCAGCCTTCTTTGGTCTTTTATGACATTGAAAAGGCAGGGGACTTTTGTGGGGCACCGTAGGCAGAGGAGATTTTGCCTAGAGTTTGAGTGAAGACACCTGGGTCGGTGGTCCTGGCTCAGTCCTGCTCTACCATGCATTAGCTTTATGAGAATAGTCAAGTTGCTCACTTTTTTTGAGCCTCATGTAATCCTCTTTAAACTCAGAAAAACAATAGATCTATTTTGTGGGGTTGTTAGAGGCACTGCATGCAATAAAAATAAAGCAATACATTCCCTGTTATGACAAATCTGTATGGCTCAGGGTCAGATCCTATTACATCTCAGGTCCTTCCTTCAGTTAGTCTAGGGCCTCTGAGGTCTGAACAAGAGGTGGAAACACAGACCATGCCATCTGAAGATCCAGCAGGGACACGGTCACTGCTACAGACAGCTCCCAGCCACTCCAGCTGGGTGGTACAGGTCACACCAACACTCACCAAGTGATGCCCCTCCCAGTCACCGGTGTGGCTGGGCGCAAACCTTACGCTGTTCAGTCAGCCCTGAGAGGCGGCTGTCGTCAGTACACTTGGAGAGGAGACCTGAGAAATGCTCAAGTGACACAGTGTGCCTGAGTGTCAATGGATGGCTTTAGGTGTGAGGGGAGCTCCATATAGACCCCAGGTTCTGATGTGGGGAAAGCAGCATACACGTTTCTACAGCTACTGTGTGTCATCTGTGAGAGGCTTGAGGAACTTTGGAGAAACTCCCTGTAACCAGATACTGCTCCTCTTTCTCTTTTCTAACCTAAAAAGGAACTGTGCAGTGTGGGAAACAGTGCTTACAGGATTGTGAGATGGGCAGACAGTATAGAATTGGTGAAAAGGACTCCAGAAATATTCCTAAATTTTGAAGCTTGCTTCTCTTTTTAAACCTATTAAAGCTGCCATATAAGGTATACCATCTGTCTATCTGTCCATTCGTTGATCTACCCATTCAATTCTCCATCCATCCATCCATCCATCCACCCATCCATCCTTGCAGGTATCTGTCCAGGCATGCTTCCAATGAGGGATGGCATTACCTGCAGTCTCCATGCCTCTGCCTCACCATCCTAACAGTTTTCATCTAGCACTGTCAAGGAAGGAACTGTTCCACAGACTTGCTTCCCCTGCCCATACCTTTCATGCATTCAAAAATGCCTAACTTCTAGTTTAGCTATTTGAGAGAAAGTTTTGTAAAACGAATCATAAACCTTCCTTCCTTCTTAGGAGGGCATGCCCCTTCATCTGTGTTTCTGGGTATCCCAGGTCACTTCTCTGCTATAGAGATGGTGGTGTGAGCCCACAGGGGCTATCACGGCTGTGCATGGTGGCCCTGGTTGCTTTGCTTTTTCATAGCTCATTTTGTACTTGTTTTCCTTGATTCTGAGAATGCCCATCATTTTCCATGTCTTACAAGTCTTGGCGTGCTTCTAGTGATTTCATCTTTAAATGGTGGTCTGGGGAATTTGTTAGCCAAATATGTTAGTGTGTATATGATTTTTGCACACACACACACACACACACACACTTATATTGGTACTGGGGATTGAACTCGGTTCCTTACACTTGTGAGGCAGGTGGAAGGACCACTGAGCTAAGTCCCTGGCCCTCTGTTATATATTTACCAAGGACTTTTTAATCATTAAAGCAGTGTTGTTGCCTTTGCAACTCCCATGTTTGCCTTCCAGGAAATAGAGGTCCTTGGATGCATAAGTCATAGATGTGGAGGCGGCATGGCATAGTGAACTGCTGCTCCTTGATCCTTGCCGAGTTGTTCTCTCTGTCCTGGTTGGTTCCTTTCTCAAAGGCGGGTAAGGGAGAGAAAGAGGGGTTCAAAGTTTCTGAGGGACAGAGTGGAGCCTGGGCCCTACTGGTAGTGCGCAGGTGGCTGAAGAAGGGATCGAGGCCTCCTCTTCTTCACTCTTGGTGGCAGTGACCAGCGTGGATGAGGCACCGCCCTGAGGGCCCAGCCCCAAGCCCAGCAGGGAGTCTGAGGGCCTGGTGGCCTCTCAAGGCCTAAGGAGAGACTGGCAACAGAGGTGAGGGGGGAATTTAGGGAGGGGCTGGGGAGCTCAGTCTGTAAGCACCCCACACAAACCTGCAGCACACTTGCTGGGATAGAAGCTCCAGATCTCTAGCCTAAGGAGAGGGTGCCAGGTGCAGCTGATATCTACTCCCTGGTGTCTCCTCAGAGAGGCCTGTCCATGCCCTGGCCAATCTTCCCACCTCCACCTCTCCCTCTGCCCCATCTGGCTGGCATTTGTGCAGCTTGTGTTACTCTCCCTTCACCCTCTTCTCCCAGCACCTGGAGCTCCATTCCTCTGTCTTCTACCTCCCTGGCTGCCCTTATCCCTTACTCAGAGAGGAAGCACCCAGAAGCACATTCCTGAGGGAGGGCTTCCACCTTTCACAGGCTATGGTGCATCAAATACCAGCCCCCCTGACTCCCTGGGGAGACAGACAGGGGCTATGGATGGGAAGACAGGCCAGTGACAGCCTCCCACCTGTCCCCCCATCCCTTCCAAGGCCACACCTCTTGGGGAAGGTAAGGTTGTAGCTATAGTGCAGGATCTTATGCTGGTAACTGGTACCGGTGTGCCTGAGATGTGACACACACCAGGAGCTCCAGCAGCAATGCAAGACCCAGTGCCTCATAATCCTTGGACTTGTAGGCTGCAGGGGCTCAGGCAGACCCAACAGCTTGGAGCCTGGCTGCCTGCCCCTCTGCGCCCCACCTCCAGCCTCTGCAGCCCTGCACTACAGCTCTCCTTAACTGCCAGGGTGTAATCCATGTCAAAGCCAAGCAACGAATCTTCCCAAGTGCCCGGCTGTGACTGATAAAAATCCTGGAAAGAGGAAGTTCATCAGCAAGTTCATTCAGAGGGATGATGTGTAGCAGTTCCATATCCTCAACATGCTCTTCAACCTGCCTGGTGAGGGCAGGTGAAGTGGGTGGAATGGGAGGTAGTCCTAAGGGTCCTGAAGCCAGCAATTGGGCCACCTCTCTGCCCCAGAAACTTCCCTCTATGCCTGCCTGGTGGACTTCTTCTGCAGCTACTCCCAATACACCAAGTATGTCCTGTGCCCTGACCAGCCCTGGGGTGTGCAGGGGCCCAGCCCAAAGTGAGGAGCCCAACCAAGGCACACAGGTCCCTCCTGAAGGGTTTGGGAGACTCCAGGAGCTCAGGAAGAACTTGAAACCTGCCGATGCCCCATGAGTCACACTCAGCTCCAGGTCACGTCCCTCTCAGGATGGCTGGGACACAAACCCAGTGTAGACACAAACCCCTCGTTAGGCTGGAGGAGTCACTTTGTAAAGGCTACAGGGCTGGTGGTTACCTCAGGCCCCCTTATCAGCCTCTCCTGTCCCCTGTTGTCCTGTCTCAGCTGTGATACTGGCTATTAGCATGGCAACCTCTTTATGTCCTTCCAAAGTCTCTTCCAGGAAGTGACTGAAGTCATGAATAATATTCATCTGTCTGTGAGTGATCCAGGTCCCCAGGGCCCCTGACCTGCTGTCCTGGGCTTCCTCCAGTTCCCACAGACCTTTTACCCCTCTTTCTGCCGTGGAAAGGGTCTGGCTTCCCATGTCTCTCCACTACCATGGATACACACACAGCTTTGTTCCCTCCTGCAGGGCTGTCTTTAGAAGGCCCTGCAGAACTCAGAGAAACACATGGAGAAGGATGTGAGTAGCCACAGATCCCAGCCATGACTGCTTTGGCCCCTTCCCTCAGGCAGTGGGCCTCCCTGATCATCTTGGTCATCTCCCTCAAGGTTGCCCAAGCTCTCACCCTGACACTGCTCAGGGCCTTCTTCTGGAGCCATTTGCTGTGGGAGGTGGGCTGGGCTTGGCTCCCAGGCTGAAACCCAAAAAGAGGATTCCAGGGCAATGGTGGGGGGGGGTCTCAGCCCTGGGGTCACTCTACCTTTGCCCTAGACATGAATCTCCATCCTGCTGGGCAAGATGAAGGAGGCTGGGAAGGTGTTTTTGATCACCAACAGCAGCTGCAACTACACTGATGAGAGTGTGTGGAGGACATTGTGAGGACTGCAGAAAATAAGGGAGGAAAATAAGGAGCAAAGACCTTCCTACACCCACCTTAAAGGTGGCAGCTTGGGTTCCATTGCTCAGCTTTTCAAGGCTTTGGTGGAATGAGAAGGTTTCCCACCATCTTACTCTGGGGCCCTAGGAAAGGGGGTTGGGTGCTGGGCAGAGGCCCAGCCCAAGTTCAGTGCCTTGACCCCTGTCCTGTCCTGCCAGGCCATCATGACATACCTGTTTGCTGCTAGTGAGGCAAGTGTTTGGGGCTGGGCCAGCGTGGGTGGCCAGAGGGCAGAGAGGGCCAGGAACATCCCATGTCCACCCTGGCCTCAGCAAGGACCAAGCCTGTGAGTGGTCATTTCCACCAGTGAGCAGAGAAGGGGTACTTACAGTATCCTACAGGACTACACAGGCAGGTGGATATCTGGGGAGGAGCTATTGGGGTGAGAAGGGGGTGAGATGAGAGCACAGCAAGCAGGGTAGGGAGCATGTGACAGGCCGTAGGCATTGGTGACTCGGTGCACCTGGGCAGTGGGTGGGGCCTCACTTTGGTGACTTTGCTCAGGTCACATGTCCCTAGATCTTTCTAATTGCACTGTAAGGGGCCTTGGTCTGATCTGATCACATGAAGCTCAATGCTACCTCCACAGTCACCTTTTGAACACTTCCCAGTGCCCAGCTTGGTTGGGGACACTGAGGAGTGAGACTGGCGGATACACAGTCCTAGGGATGTATCATCTGACAGGGTCAGATTTCCCAGGCTGTGTGTGTGTACCCCGTGTGCCTACACGTGCCCCCTATCTTGTCCCCCAGGCTGAAGTCTCAGCCAGACCCTGCAGGTCCTACATCGACCTGATTGTGGTGGACACACAGAAGCCCTGCTTCTTCGTGGCGGGATGGTCCTGAGACAGGTCAACATGGTAATATCAGGTGGTCAGGCCCTGTCCACCTTGGGGGAGACTTCCTGACCTTGGACTTGACCTGCCTATGGCCACTGCTGGCTCTGCTGACTGTCTGTCCCTGAAGGCAGATAACTGGGGGGCCACTTTGAGTCCCCACAACCTCTACCCTTACAGGGGAAAAGTTGTGGTTCTCCTGACTCAGGGCCCCTCTGTATCTGCCAGAACTCGGGGAATCTCTGTGTGGGGACTTACACTGGGCCCCAGCAGCACTGCACTCTACTCTGGAGACACCTCCTTTACCAGGAGCCCACGTCCTAACCTTTCCGCTGGGCAGGAAGGTGAGTCAGCACTAGTCCTCCTTTGGTGGGCCAGGGTCCTTAGACATGGTGTGTGAACTGCTTGACATGAAGGGAAAAGACATTCTGTATATCGGGGACCACATCTTTGGGGACACTGTCAAAAGTCCAAGAAGCAGCAGGGCTGGTGCAGCTGCCCCAGCAGCTGGGCATTTGGGCCCCGGAAAAGGGTGAGAAGAGGATCAGGACTGGGGAGGGGGGACCCCCTTTTCTTGTGGTGGGTTAGTGGTGACCAGGAATTGTGTACTTGCTGTGATCTGTGAGGATCTGTCTTATACACAAGATAAAGAGACCCAGAGAGAGGTTATCCATTTGACTGAAATCATATAGACCTAGGGGCCAAGCTGGGACTCAGGTCCGCGTGGTCTGACTCCCGATTCCCATGGAGTTTGTAGGGGCGTCCTTCCTCCCCTTACCCTGCCCTCTACAGTGGCCCTGAGTGTACTAGTGTGTGGGAGGCATGCCTTTCTAGCTCCCAGTGTCATCTTTGGGGTCAAGGGTTAATGAAAGCCCAACAATTTGGGGTTTGTTCTGAGAGCTGCCAGGTTTGAGTCATGGCCACATGACTCTGGGAAGGTCACCTGGGTCCCTTATTGCTTTTGTCCCTTGTCCCGTGGGGTCTGTGCTGTCTCTGCTGTGCTCTGGGTGGGGTCATATCTGCCCTGAGGGGTTTCAGATTTGGGGGTGGTGATGGAGCAGAAACCCCTGGCAGAAGTCTGACAAAGGGCTATTACCCCTGTGGTCCCCTGCCTTTCAGAGTGGTCGAAGCAGCTGAAGAGGCTGGAGACTCACCTGGTGGATCTGTACCAGTGAGAGCCATACCTTTTTGAGGGTGGTAGTGGGGAGAAGGATGGAGGTGATGGCCGTGTCCCGGTCTGGCTGTGAGGCCTGGGCAATGTCATCAGGGAACTGAGAAGAGTGATCACATTCTGTGACCTCTAGGCCTTTCCTCTTAACCCATCCAGGACGGACTTGGGTGGGGGTCTCACGCCTGTGCACACCCCCACCCCAATTTTCCTGGCCGCCAGGCTGCTTCTTGACGCCCCACTGGGCCGGGGGAGGTCACACTCTTCTACTCCCTGGATCACAGGGCCATTTTTGCACCAGGTACATGGATGGGAGCAGTTATGGGCTACAAGCCATCCCCGCCACCAAGAAGGAGATTCAGGAGAGCAGTGGAGGAGGGGCCCGCGCGACCTCTCCCATCCCTGCCTGGATCGGCTTTGTTTCCGGCCCTGGAGCCCAGCTCGCACATTTTCCAAGCTAGCCAAGCTCCATAGACCTTGTCCTCTGGCGCCCTCTGCTGGCCTGCATTTCCGCAGCGCCGGCAGGCTGCCTGGAGGCTGGGCGAGCCGGGTCCCTCTGTCCTCAAGGCCGCTCAATCTAGAAAAGTGCCGCCTGCTGGGCCCAGTCTTCAAGTGGCCGGCTGGCCAGCTGTGATCGCTGTCTGGGGTCAGCCAGAGGAGGGGCCTGAGAAAATGAGATTCAGGGACAGTGAGCTGAAGGGTCCTGGGAGAAAGAGAAGAAAGGAAAACATTCCCTTGAAGCTGTGCTGACTACCCTGGTGGTCTAGAGCAGGCCAGGAAGCGAGAGGTTCCCACAGGCGGTAGTGTTAGGGAATTGATCATGTTAAATTATGCTGTGATGCCGCCTCACAGGCTGCATTCCTGGTACA